TCTTTTTGTCGTAACCCAACTTTGGTTGTGGAAGGTCACTACTAGAAGGTAAAAGAATTTAGACAATTGCCTATATATTCAGAAGGTCTACGCTTACATTTTAAATTGTTTTTAGTTTGATATCTTGTGGCAGACGTTTTCTCTGTTTCCTGAAAACTTAGTCCAAAAAACTTACGACAGTCCTCCCATTTGCCACAGAACTGCGCAACGACTGCGCACAACCACACATTTCAACCATTACGAGTGCGCTGATCCTCTCGAGCACCCCCGCGTTTTCTCATCGTTTGCGTGCTTTGACCCGACCATCCTGCAGATAATCCTCAGAACACGTGCTGGTGCACTTGGTGCACCCGTCCGCTTTGAGTTTCGCGCCCGAGCGGGTTAAGCTGAATGGAAAATCTAGGATTTCAAACGCGTTTTCGGAAAATTTTAATGGAAGATTTTCCACTAACGGACCAAAATGGACCTTAATAATTGTTTCCGTATACCTCGAATTACTGTCTTCCGAACCCGCTTTAGAATTCTCAGATTTTGGATCCTCCTTAGGGCAGGGCTCTGCACGAGGGGTAGATAACTCCTGAATACAGTAGGCGCTCGCTATAGTTCCGCCTCCGGTTCAGAATTGGAGTGGGTGAGTGGGGTCGCCAGAGGCGGAACTATAGCGAGCGTCTTCCCCCACTCCTTCTCTACCGCTCTTGCTCACACTGCTGGCTGCCAGCCCGGGGGGAAGGTGGTGGGGAGGAGGAAGAGAGGGGGGCCGCTTCTCGCTCGGAGTGGGGGAACCAGGCCTGGCGGGGAGGGAGCGCCGGCGGAACTAAAGAGAGCGGAACTATAGCGAGCCCTCACTGTAGGGTGTACAAATTTCATGAATCGAATGATTTGAATTGGCTTGAATTGACTTTAAGTTGGACTAAATTAGTTTAATTGTGTTTGAATTATTTTGATTTTAGTTTACCGAATTAACTTGAAGTGACTTGAATTTACCAAAATGTAAATTGGCTTGAATTGGACTGAATTCATTGGATTGGTTTTGAAACTGTTTGAATTATTTCTGATTTTTTAAAATGAAGTCGGATTGGTTTGAGGGTGATTATCAGAATACGGACTATTATTTAGATTTCGCTGCCCTTCTTTACTATGTGATATGGTTTTAAAAGGGTTTAATACCAACTAGATACTCGAAAGCACTTACATTACCTGGTGCAACACTAACAAGCAGGCCCGCCCTTCCACCAAACGGAGTTGCCAGCTCCACTTCGCTGCGCCGGCAACTCCGTTCGGCAGGGGCCGGGCCTGCTTGGCCTGCCGGCGGCGATGGTCGGGCCTTCGGCCC